TTTACTCTACATCAATATTTGTTTTCTGTTGTTGTTAATATGTTTGTGTCTATTCTTGTCATGTAGTTCTTTGTATTATGTAGTTTTTCTGTTGAAAATAATTTTAAAAAAGAAGAAGAAAAGTTATTTGGGTGGTGGGAGGGGCTGAACTTCATGTGTGACTTTTAAAGACGCTCCCCAGGGTTGTTTGGAAAGGAAAACATTTTTAAACATGAAAAATGGTGCGGCCTGTTACCGAACAGTCTAAGTTATCCAGACCTACAAAGAATGCTTTTCACATGACTATTTTGATGTCAACTATTCAGTCTTGTTTTATTCGACTGTCACTCTCACAAGAGTGAAATAAAAAAACTCTGGGGCATGGAAAAAATAAAAGAGGACCTGAGCGTGGAGACCTGGTAGAAGCTGGCTGGTACCCGTTTCCAGAGGAAAAGAAGGAAATTGGCAGGCCGTCGTTACTTTTAAAAGACAGAATAAGATGGCAACCTAATTTCAAATAAAATGAAGCATTACTTAGTTGTTTAATAGACCTTTATTTTGGGGGGGGGGGGAAATTGGCTAATGTTGACAATTTAGTTGACCCCACCTTCCCCCTAATAATGTTTGTACGGTCCCTAAGTTGTTGTTGTTTTGAATTGAGCAGTGGTATGTTTTATTGCTTATGAATTCAACTATTCAGTTGTAAGAGGATGAGTGTATTATGTCTTCTTAGTCTCAAAAGTGTTAATTGAGATAATCAATTATACTGATCTGTGCCATTCAATATGTAAGTAATGTGTTCAGTAATATTGCAACCGAGCATGAAGCAGATAACACAAATACTCTGTGGGAGTTAAAGCAACACTGCAGCAGCACAATGGGAACCTTCTTATTGGCATTTTATTGTCTTATATATAAGAATACGATTGAACAGTATAGCCTCTATATAATTTATAGCTTTCATATGTTTGTGCAAAGGGAGATAAAACATGTGGAATGCAGATGTTTACTCTCTTTAGAACATTGTAAAAACTCAAAGATGCAAAGAACCCTTTCACAACAGCACACCAGATGGTTTATGGGAAGTGTGGTCTCATTTTAGAGAACTACATCACATACCTCCCATAATCTTAACAGTGGACACATTTATGTATGGTAACATTTATTTTTTCAACACTTAACACATTTAATAACATTGGCAATATGAAACATTTACTATGACCTTTCTATCTAACACCTAACTCTCTTGACAATAGCCAAAGAAAACATTTTGATACACAAATTAGAAAATGGACAGTGTTTCTTTTATTGCTGCATGTATCCATTCAATCAATATAGAGTGAAAGGCCTCAGTTCTGCATGTTTTCTCTCTCATCAATCAATCTCACAGTGTCACCTAATGTGTGAATGTGGCCCTTCAGGAGGACAGTCTATAATTGTTTTCAGTGGGTTTTGGATAAATGGATGTAATTCAGGCACAGTATCTTATCTTTTTGCTTTGCCTATTTTTATTAACAATAAACTAGAATAAATATTTTCTGACCACAAGAGAGAAATATGAGAAGGTTCGTTATTGTGAACTTGGGCGGGAAATGGGTGGGAAATCAGACGGATGTCAGAGAAAGATGAAATACAGGGGGGGCTCTAATTATTTTTATTATTAGAGTTGGGCCATTCAGTCTGGCTACTTCTTGATGACCTCTGTGTCCACGTCTTCTGTGCGGGACACCACTTTTCCATCAACAATCTCCTCAATCACCACCCTCGTCCTCTGGGTTACGACTGGTTTAGCTGCAGATGAAATGGAGACAAAATTTAATCTGTAAAATATTTAATTTTTACAAGCAAAGAGATAAAAAAAATACGGCAGTGATGTAAACTTACATTTCACTTCTGTCGTGACAACGGTTTGCCTGGAAGATAGACAAAAAGTAATTTTTTAACATTTCGAGATGGGGTCAACGTGTGTTAAAAGAATAGTTTGCCGTTTTGGCTCAATCACTTTTTATGCCAAGAGTTAGACAGATCGATACCCCTCTCAAATGTGTATGCTAAATACGAAGCTACACCCAGCAGCTGGCTAGCTTAGCTTGTGACAACGCCAAAGGTAAAAAATGCCTCACTAATAGGACTTTTCCACCAACAGGGTTAGCGCTAAACTGTTTAGAGCATCCATATGAATGACTATTTTCCACATTTTACCTGCTTGTCTTGTTAATGTCAAGCTACAGATAAATCCTACGTCAAGGTAGAGATTAGAACATTCACTTACTTTACGTCCCCTCCATCCAGCAGTCTTCTGTACTCAGCGATCTCCATCTCCAGCCTGGTCTTGATGTCGAGCAGCATCTGGTAATCTGAGGCCTGCCTCTCGGTGTCCGCCCTCATCTGGCTGAGCTCGTTCTCCAGAGCGTTGACCATGGCCTGGAGCTGGTTCAACTGCAGGCTGTAGCGGGACTCCGTCTCTGCCAGCTGGCCCTCCAAGGCAGCTTTCTGCAAGAGGAAAAAAAACACAGTAGGAGATTTGAGAGAACATTCTTCCGGTATGGACATGTGCATCTGTGTATATGGGATGTGAATTACCAGGCTGAGCTGGGACTGCAGCTCGATCTGAAGGCTCTGCATGGTCCTCTTGAGCTCATTGATCTCACTTCGGGAGGTCTGGAGGGTCTCTGTGCTGGATGCCACCTGCTTGTTCAGTTCGTCGAACTGGAAGACATGAAATTAGACATGAAAATTGTCGCTTGATATTGACATACTGATAAAGGAAATATTCTCAGTTAAAGGAGCTGAGGGTAAATGTATTGTGTCGTTCCCCTCACCTTGACCTTGTACCAGGCATCCATTTCGCGGCGGTTCTTGTCAGTGATGCCCTCATACTGACTTCTGATCTCATCCAGGGTTGCAGACATGTTCTCCTGAGGCTTGGCGTCCACCTCCACATTCACAGAGCTGGAATTAACTTGGCCACGCATAGCTGCAAGCTCCTACAGGAGGGACAACAGAGTCAAAGGTTAGGTAAGGTCAAAAATTAAACCAACATGAAAAGAAGAAATGAGATCCTGGGACAAAGAGGACTGGTCTTCCTGATGAAAAGAAATGTTGCATTTATAAAACACACCCTTACTCAATTCAGTACACTCAGGGGTTTGCTGCTGCTTTACTTTTAATGTTAGATATAGTGACTTCACTGACTGCATGACTCTTTTGTACCTGTGCTGCTGCTCCAGGTTTTAGAATTTACTAAAACCCCGTAGTTGCCCGTTGTGGTCACAGTGGCCGCTGTTCACCAAATGTTACATTGGCTCATTTTAAATGAAAAATGTAATGTAATAGTAGTAATAGTAGAAAAAAAATCCCTATGCCTTATCTAGAGCTAGTGTTTGGTTTGTCCGTTCTGGGTTACTGTAGAAACATGGCGGACCCCGCAGAAGAGGACCCGCTCCCTCTGTAGATAAAAACACTGTGGGTCGCCTTCCATGGACTCCGCCATGTTGAACCACCATGTTTCTACAGTACTAATCCTACACACTGGACCTTTAACATATCGATGCAAACGTTTTTAAAATGAGCCCTTTATTTACCTTTCATGCTGATGATCATTTAAAAGAGCTTTTACAGCATCTCAGTAAGTAAACAAACTACAAGTGAAGAGATGATCTCCTGTTAGTCAGATGATCCCCCAGCAGCCTGGGGCCAGGAGCAGAACCTACTTTGACTTACACAACTTGAAGGCACAGCAAACAATCCAAACAAGTTTTGCATTGTCTGTTGTTTATACAGGATAACAATTCCTGGGAGGCATTTGGCAAATAGTTGACTGATTGTCTCCCTTTTATGTTGCACCTGAGCTCACAGATTCCTAATAGTAGAAGTCTCACCTCTACATGGTTCTTCTTCAGGTAGACCAGCTCCTCCTTCAGGCCCTCCACCTGCATCTCCAGGTCGGACCGGGCGACGGTCAGGTCATCCAGGACCTTACGCAGTCCTTGGATGTCAGACTCCACTGACATGCGCACTGCCATCTCATTCTCAAACCTGTCCGTGGATAAAAACACGGAGGTTAACGTTGCCTCACCTGCTCAGTTGCTGTTACCACCAACAACTAAAACCAGTTACACCAGTTTTATCACTCTGTTGACCGTTACACCCCTGTGACAATATGTGAAGAGGACCGGAACTACTGAACAAACATGTGATGTCATGCCGCAAGGTATTGCATCTGTCCAGACTTCTGCCACTATAAAACACAGCGATGCTAACGTCTGACGTAAGCTTTCCACTCACTTGATTCTGAAATCCTCTGCTGCCAGTCTGGCATTGTCAATCTGCAACATCAGCCTGGCATTGTCCTGTGTGGCAGCACTGATCTGAATAAATAAAAAAAAAAAGCATTGTCAGTAGGTTCTTATCCCCATATAATACAACTACAAAGGTGTATAAGTGATTCATCATCTAGAATCTCGGCCGGCCAGGTTTTCTAGAAGCGCAGAATAGTTTGCTTTGACTTGCATTCCACTGTAATTGTACTGTGTGGCATTATAATATGTAATTGAAAATTAAAGGTTTTGTATAATGGGCTGTATTCTAATCTGTGGAGGGTAAACCACCTTAAACTCTCTCCTGCACTCTTGGTGCAGTGACTCAAATCAGATTATATGAGCATGGAGCTTTAACATGATACTGCAGAAGAAGTTATTCATCTTTATTTGGTGGTTGTTTTTAGGTTGTAGTTAAATGACATTTATTATATATCCCAATGTGATTTAATGTTTTAATATTTAAAATGAGTTTAACCGGGGCAATATAAATAAGACAAAGAACATTTTAATTAAATTGTATCATTATGACAATTTTTTGCATTATTTTACAGTAGTAAAATATTGGATATATAAAGACCTTTTGCTTCAAGTTTCTGGAAGGGGGAAAGCTCACCTTTTTGCGCAGGTCGTCGATGATGGTCTGATACTTGCTGTAGTCCTTGACGGTGGGGGTCTGCTTCTCGTACCACTCGCGGATTTGACGCTCCAGCTGCGCATTGGCGGACTCCAGAGAGCGCACCTTTTCCAGGTAGGCGGCCAGGCGGTCGTTGAGGTTCTGCATGGTCACTTTCTCGTTGCCGGAGACAGACACACTGCTGCTGTTACCCTCGAGCGCCGAGGCCAGGTCAAAGCCAGAACCCAGGCCGTTGGAGGCGTAGGACACCCGGATGTTTGAACCACCTGCGCCGCCATGCATGCTGGTGCCCCGCCTGGAGCCTGTAATTAAGGGCATAGAGGAAAGGGACATGGTTGATCCGGAGCGGTACATGGTGACTTCTTGTTCTGACTCAGGTGCAGCAGCGTTGACTTTGAACCCCAAGAGTGATGCGAAGGAGACGGTGCTGAGGCGGCCCGGAGGACGGGTTTTATAGTCTCCTCCCTGGAGGTGGGAGCAGTCGGACAGGTAGGATGCTGCCCGCCAACATCTCAGGTGTAACCACACAGGGCGTGGTGGAGGCTGCTGTCAGGACTGTCAGGGAACATTTCAGTTGAGTTAGGCGTGTGAGCCATTGTTCATTCAAGTTGTCACCTTTAATTAAGCATGTCTGATACTCTTAATCTCAAGGTGAAAGGATGAGCTAATATTCGTTTAATTGGTGGTCTGTGGGTGATTTACCCCAGTCTCAAACAGAGTTCATGGTGTCTGTTAGAACTCAAAGCGGAGAAATATAGCACTATGTGTTCATTTAATTGGACTTTTGTATTATTAAATTAACCGAGCACGAACTGACGATAGAAAAAACTTGATGGTGAATTTCAAGCATGCAGCTATCCATTAGCGCCAACCAATTTTCAACTAAATTGTCAACATTAGCC